ATATAGCCATACTGGGGTAAACCGGACTAAGTAAAGGAAGTTCGACCTGAGTATAGGCCGGCCGGAAATAAGTCGACTGAAGGAAGACACTTAGTGAATATGACGACCTCGATTTACTATGATTCAGTGAACCAACATAGCTCGAGGTCGACAATAGACGACCTGAGAACCCCGGTGACGACTTAATCCTCAAAGGATATCCGAACCTGACCCCCATAATATGGCCTAAGTCGACCTACCTCATATAGTTTCGACTTGGCCTATTTCACCGCTCTGAGGTAGGTTGTGGATTGGATAGTCTTAGAGTGAATAACGACTTAAGATCAAGTAAATATAAAGGATAAGAGGGAATATTAAAGGGATAAAAGGAATCTTAAGATGATTAGGATCTGTCTAAAAAATTATTAGGATGTGGATAAGCACTAAATTCGGGCAGGCTACCCATGGGCAGAGCATTACGGACAGGTATTTCCCTATAAAATGGATTGAGGTATACCCAAACCCTAACTTTACATTCTCCATACATTATATATAACTCTTATTTACAGAGCATCATCACCTTCCTGATACTGACTTAGGAATCAGAGGATCTACGCTGGAAATCCTCCAGCGTTGAGTTCTTACAGGTACACGAGCGGCGATTCAGGTGGATCGGGCTCATCCTCAGTCGGTTCTATCCAAATCTGATAGAGGGACCCATCATGTAGGTTGAGATGAAAAATGTGTTTGATGGAGCTTACCAAACTTACAAGCATCAAAAAAAGGCAATGAAGAAGAAGAAAATGAAACATTCATACTGCTAAGAACATGTTTGAGTACATTAAGCCAGGGATGATCAAGTTTCTTGTGCCAATTTACAATAGCATCAGAACAAGCTACATTGACATTGAAATTTTAAGTTATAGACTTATTACAAGAGTTTGAAGCATGTGAAATTAAAGCAGAGGGAGCTGATGAGTGTGAAGACTGCTTGAGGAGGAAATGATGCTTGGACAAGTCCAGCTGATATAATCCATCCTTAAGCAAGCCTTCCAAAAATATTTGATGTGTGTTCTTGTCCTTCACAGGATATTAATTGCATGAAACTAAATGAGTATATTGTTATCATTAGTGAGCTGGAAAATACTAAGAAGATTTTAGCTAAAAGCTGGAACTAGAAGAATATTATTGAGAAGAATAAGTAAATGTCAGGGGAGAACTGATGAGCCAACATGGGAAATAGGAATAGGGGAACCATTACCAACTGTGACTTTATCAGTACCATGATAGGGAACAACCTATAGAGACAAATTTTCAAGATTAGTTGTGAGGTGGTTTGTAGCTCGACTGTCAAAATACCAATTGGGATCAACTGTGGCAGATGAGAAGTAAATGATTCACCTAGATGTGCTTAAGAAGTTGTGGTGGAAGAATCTAATCCTGTGAAACTTATATCAAACCGTTTGAAACACTTGATGGCAACATGATTGGCTTTACCACACAATTGACAAAGAACGCGATCATTATTCTTATAAATCCAACCACCACGACCACGAAAGACCTACCACGACCTCTGTTTTGAATAAGTGTGGATAACTTCATAAGTCGTGTCATCTGATGGCTCCATAGTAAAACTGGTTAGCTATACAACCGCTAAAGGTGAGCATCGGTGCGGTTCGGTCAAAAATCGAACCGCACCGAAAAAAACCAAAAACTGAATGTTTAGGATTTCTTCACTGAACCGCATCGCAATAGAAAGAAAAACCGCATCGAAATCGGTTCGGTGCGGTGCGGTTTTTTGGTTAATCGAAATTAAAAAAGGATAATTACAAATTAATGTTCAAACAATACAAATTTTTACTTTTAAGTTTTAAATGTAAATGTTTGTGAAGTTGTGTCCAAATTTTTACTCACAAAGTCGCAGCCTATATATCGTATATGTAATGTAAATAAAAGTGTAAAACTAAAGTGACACTTTATGATTTTCGGTGCGGTTCGGTTAAAACCACACCATTCAAACAGAAAACCGAATCACACTGAAATATTTGTGCACCGTTAACCGAGCTCTTCAAAAATGCATCGATTTTTCGGTTTCAGCTCGATTTTGTTCTCTCCTAATAGCCGCCTACAAGTTATATATAGAGAGAGAAGGAGAGATATTTTAGTAAACAATATAACTCAATATTATAAGATCACATTTACGAATATTAAACTTTTCTCATGATATAAAAGAAAGAGTAGCTATATTAGCTTTTATTTTAAATATCAGCAAATAACAAATTTTGAAATGACAACAAATATAGATATTGAATATTTATTTATATCAATTAAATAAAACTGGCAGCCTAATCAGTTAACTGGCAAAATTTCATTTTTGGTCCTATAACTTGGCCACAATCCAAAAACCACCCCTATATTGACCACTTTCAATTTAGGTCCTATAACTTGTCGATTTCATCATTTTTGGTCCATTTTTATCCAAGCCCGGGATAAAAACATGACGTGGCGCCTAGTCAGATATATTTAGGATTTTCTGCCATGATGTGGCATCCTGGTTGCCAAATGGAAATAACACTTGGATTAAATTTTTTTTTTTTAAAAAAAAAGAATTAACCAAAAATTGGTTCTGCCAAAGTGAAAATAACCAAAAAATTAAAAACAAAAATAAAACAAAAAATCAAAACCAAAGTGGAAAGTAAAAAGAAAAAAAACCATGTTCCCAAACCACTGTTGCTCCACCTTCTCCACGAAAAAATCTGCAAATTGAAAACTCACGTCCTCACTAATCAAGCATGTTTTTCAAAGACTAGCTTTTCCCATATATCATGCAACTATATGAATATACATGTGCGCGCTTAATGTTGAGAAGATGAATAATATGGTGGCTCGCAGAGAAGATGGCCGGAAAATTCGTTGCCGGAAAAATATCATTGGTTCCGGCAACAGAGAACGTCACTAGATGCGTCTCGGCGAGAGGAGTTTGGAGGTACCTTCGGATTCACTTGGGTCAAAACGGGTCACCGGGAATTTACAAAAGAATGCCGAAAAAATTTTGTAGATCTACAAGTTTTGACCGGAAATTGGAAGCCTTACTGTCGGAATTTTTGTGTGAAATTTCAATATGTTATTGGCCCAGAAAAGAGCTACAAGATGACGTAAAAAATTTTAAAATCCGGCGAGTTTGGCCGGAGGCAGGCTGCGGCGGGAGGCGGCCGACGGCGGCACGGGGGAGGGTGGCGGCGGCGTAAAAATAAGTTATAATTATAGGGGCTCATCTTGAAAAATTTAATAAGTTATAAGAACTATCTTGTAATTTTAATAATTTTAATTAATTGCACCTAAGTCCTAAAGTTGACTGGATCATTGAATTTTGAAGTCAAAGTTTTCTAATCACGCCACATAAGTCACAATCACGCCATGTCAGATAAAAAATTGCCATGTCATGTTTTTATCCCGGGGTGGAATAATATAGGACCATAAATGATGAAATTGACAAGTTATAGGACCTAAATTGAAAGTGGTCAATATAGGGGTGGTTTTTTGGAATGTGGCCAAGTTATAAGACCAAAAATAAAATTTTCCCCGGTTAACTCAACAAGTCTAACCCCAAATAAAACGGGTTTATTGCACGAAATCCCCCTATATTATATGAAATCTGCGCGTTTTCTCCCGGTATTTTAAAAGTTGCGTCAAACCCCCTTCTATTTCATGTTTGCATGCATACTCGCCATTTCCAGTTAACGCCGTTACTTTAATGCTGACGGCGTTTTTTTTCATTGAATTTACCTTTATAACTTTACTTTAACATTGAATTTACCATTTTACCCTTAATGTTAATATATTGACTTAAAAGTAAAATTCCAATAGTAGGGATTGAACCCACCACCTTTGTGATGTAAAAGACAACTCTTACCAACTGGGCTACTACTCATTTAGTTATAAATGTGATTTTATCTATATATATCACACTGTATAGCGGAATATCATATAATTAAGTATATAGATTATAAATTATAAATATCATAATAATTAATTATATAGATCTAAATCATGAATAATATAATAATGAATTATACAGATTCTATATAATGTAATAATTAAGTATATAGACTCTAATTTATAAATAATATAATAATTAAATAAATATATCATAAATTAAAACTAATACAATAATTAAATAAATATATTATAAATTAAAAATAATATAATAATTCGTTATATAGATATAAATAATAGAATGATCAAATAAATATATTTTAAATTTTAAATAATATAATGATTGAATAAAGAGATTATAAATTCCAAATAATATAATTATTAAATAAATATATTTTATAATAAATAATATAATAATTAAATAAATATATTTTATAATAATGAATAAATAAATAGATTCTAAATTATAAATTATATAATAATTGAATAAATTATATTCTAAAGTATAATGATAATTATAAATCATAAATAATATAGTAACTAAGTAAATATATTCGAAATTATAAATAATATAATGATAATTATAACTTATAAGTAATATAACAATTCACTACATATATTTTTTATAATAACTGAGTAAATAGATTCTAAATTATAAATAATATATTCTAACCTATTTACTCAATTATGATAAAATAAATTACAGAATGAATATATTACTTATATTGTACATTATAAATTATATTAAATTAAATTATTAAAATATAAAGTTATGATAATAGTAATATATTACTTATATTGTACATTATAAATTACATTATAAATTATATTAAATTATCATTTTGTTTTTATATTAAATAGTAATATATTTATTATGAGTAAATCATATTAAAATTATTTGATAAATAATATTTTTATTATATTATATTATATTAATTTCAGTTCTTTATTTATTGAATTTATTATTTTATAATAAGACATTTGACTTATTATTTATTTTACTT